CAGTATCACATGCATAGCTCAATGACAGGCCTTATACAGACCTCCAGAATCTCATGATGCTTACCTCCCTGTTTACCTTGAGGAAACACAAATGGGGACAGTTTAAATGAGCTCTATAATTTTCCTTCAAGAAGTGGCAGCAAGAATGTTTTCCTGTTTTGAATACTGTGAACAGGGGAAACATTGCTCAGAAATGTTTGTGCTTCCATAGCCATGTGTGCCCATTATTACAGCAGGTGAACAGGTATAAGGGGAGAGAACATGACATAATCAAGACAGATGTCTCAGGCACTGACTGCCTCCCTGCAGCTCGTCTGCTGGTACTAACGATTGTGGCATTGAGATCAGCATCTTACCCAAACACAGTATCACAGGCATTTTCTTCAATTGCAGTATTTTCAGCAGGGTTCATAGATCAAAAGCCATCTCAAGATTCAAGGTGAGTGACCACAAAGAAAGAAAAGTGAGCTTGTACCTGATATTAGAATATTTCATTAATGGAGAAAATCCAGCAAAACATGCTCCAACAGCAAATAACTAAATCTCTAATCTCTGATGGCACTGAATCTCCTACAGAGATTCATATTGCAGTGGTATAATCATAGTCATAACAATACCTGTTTTTCAAAGTGCTAAAACTTGTTTTAAAACCTACCTGCTAATTCCTCCCCAACAGGCATCCTCTTCTGCTTTTCATCATCTGGTTGCACAGTATCACTATGCATCCTGGGGTGGAGAGTAAAACAATGAATCATCCTAAGCAGAAACTATATTCAGTGGTCATGTGCTGGGTTCTCTTTACCTTGGAAACATGTATTGTATCTGCCATCAAAGAATTTCAGTCTGAACTAAGGATGAGGCTGATTCCCTAATAAAGTCAGCCAAGGCACCTACAAGTTGAAATTAGCATTTGAATAATGTACTCTCAATGTCACCAGTCATATATGTACCATTTCCTTAGTTGCTTAAAAGTTTTCTCCTTTTTTTGTCACAAAAATACCTACCTAATATGGTACTTCAATCACAGGATGCTTGGAATTCAGGTGCAGATTAGAGTCTCTATATGCTGCAACACACAGCTTTGAATATAAACTTTGTATAGATTGTAGCAGGAATCTTAAAAGTTCTTATAAATAAAATCAAACCCGAGGCCAGTTATTGGGGTGAATACTTGGATGGTCAGAGAGGCAGAACAAGCCACAGATATCTCACCTTGCCAATTCCTCAGCTGGTCTTGTTTCCTCAGACTGGAAGCTTCTGTGTCCTCATCCCAATGGCTCTCAGCTGAACTGCTGCTCGAAAGGCTGAAGCTTAACCAGCCAAATGCTTAACCAGCCAAATGCTTCTAGTTTCTGGTCCTCACGCCTTTCTGCTTTCTACCATCACTCTCTAGGATTAAAGGCTCCCTTTCTGGGATTAAAGGCGTGAGTCACCATGCCTGGCTGTTTCCAATGTGGCCTTGAACTTGCAGAGATCCCAGATGGATTTCTGCCTCTGGAATGCTAGGATTAAAGGCGTGTGCTATCACTGCCTAACTAGTGGCTTTTCTGTTCTCTGACCCCAGATAAGTTTATTAAGGTACACAATATTTTGGGGAACACAATACCACCACATTTCCTCTCTTTTTTCTAAAATTAAAGAAAGCTTATAATTAATACAAGAAAAACTATCCAATAAGTATATACAATATATACAACCCAAAATTACATTAATGATGTCTAGTCCATTAACATTTGACAGATTCAGATAAAAACTCCATTATATATATTAACAATGTCCAGACCAGCAACATCTGATAAACTCAGACCAAAAAATTTTCATTACTTATCTTATTTAAAACAAGTAGTTCCTTTTTAAAAGTAGATTCCATAATCTCCCTTTTTATCTTATCATATCCATATTCTCTCTTTTTTCTTTTCATAATAGATTCAGTAGTCTACCTTTTGTCATTTTTATATCTTCCCCTTTTTCTTCAGTGTAGATTCAATGATCTACCTATTTATCCTATTATTTCTTTATCTTTTTTTCTCAGAGTAGATTCAATGATCTATCTCAATAGATATTAACATTTGTTTAAAATATATAATAAGATTATTTCATTTTTATAATAGCAAGATACTTCATGGCCACAGAGGGTAGTATGTACACATACTTCCCATGGTAGTGGTATTTACCAGCATTCCATTATTACTAATAAAATTATCTGATCAGGAATCAATTAGCACTTCAATGTGTCATCTCAACGTTTGTAAAGCTATGCACAGATTGCAAATTTAATTTAGGGTTATATCTTTTTATGGTAATTAAGCCATGTCATTTCACTTGTGCTACCATTACACCATTGCTATCTTTTCTCCCCCAGCATCCTATCATGCACAATGTAGGGCTTAAAACAGGTGAATATTTCCTGGGCAGTTGAGCTTAATTTGTGTATTGCATCTTAAATACACTTAAAAATAGGCTGTTAACTAATTACTATAGGCAATTAAGAATGATGACAATGGGCTGGGGTCTTTGGCTACCTATTGGTCCTCCTTGGCCAACAATTCAAAATGAGGTAGTTCATGCTAGCAGTGAGATTTTCATTCAGGAACCCATGTCTTCTGGGCCAGAATTGTTCACCTACACAGGGAAACTTTGTTAAAAAATATGCTTTGTTTCTATTTGATTATTAATAAAAAACAATAATGATGAAGGATAGTTTTCTTTGAATTATCAATGGTAAACCACTTTCAGTTGTGAAATCAAAGAAAAATGAATCAACTTGGACAGGTGGCATTGAATGCAAAAACACATAAGCATAAATTTGTAGCATCCAGTTCAATTTAATGTGCTCTCTGAGAATATCAACAAGTATTTTCATTGACTTTTCATCTATATTTAATAATGACACCAACTGAAATGAGGAAGTAAAAATGAGATTTCTGTACAGAAGACTTCAATCAAGAAATACCATGTACACATGTAACTCAATGTTAGACCTCAGGCACACCACATTATCTTCTCATCTCTAAAGATGAGATCCTGTGACCCCTGAAACGGAGCAGATAACAATCTCTCTGAACTCTGGAGTATTTCATTAAGAGCTCATGTCAGGAACTTATAATTCTTCTTTGCTAATGGTCACCAAGGGAGAAAAGTTCCCAGCAAAGTTCTTGTCAGTTCAAGCCTGCATGCCCGTTGCTATGGCAGGTGAAATAATCATTGCAGGTCTGAGGGGAGGTGAGGTCACAGACTCGCAGACCCATATTTAGGCACTGACTGTCTCCCTACACCTGACTTTCTGATGTTTGTGGCCATGGAGCTGTGATCAGCATGCTGGGAAGAGTAATGTACTGACAGTGTAACAGACTGCAACCTGAGAGCAGAGATAAAGAGAAATTGTGGGAATCTTGGTAAGTGAATGTAGAAGACAATAGAACAGGGGACTGAACCTGGATGAATGACAAAGTCACAAAAGATACAGAGAATCCTCAGGGATGGAATCAGGAAGAAAGGAACACTGGGTTCCTAGAAGCACTGAGTTATACATTGAACCTAATGTGTTCCTCATTGTCAGTGCCTGATGTGCTGTTTCCCACTAGAAAAGAAGACTGACCCTAATGGGGCCATAAAATGTCACTCTGAAGACAACTTTTTTCTTTATGAGGAGATTTCCCTAGGGCACCCCATAGGTAAATGGGCGTTTCTGTAGTCAATGACAGTGCATAGCTTTGTGGAAATTTCTAAGTCTGTGTGCTTTAATGCTGTCTGTGTATTTATGCACAGTGGTAAATATGGAGAGTAAGGGGCATGCTAATGAACTCTGAATGGAGAAAGTATTTGCAGGCTCTCTCAATGATTCCAACACTGTGCACTTGGACCTGTACAGACTTTTCTATGAAATATTTTGAAATATGTCCTAAAAAAACAAATTAGAAGTAATTTCTCATGGCGATAAATTGAAAATAACAGCAACCTGCAATCTCCTTTAATATGAATAATAAAGTTTCTTGCATTCTAGGAATACACCAAGAATTACTTCATGCTTTTAATAAGGAGTGAGATCCTTCCTTCAAACAATATAATCCTACCTTCAGTTGGATGAAAATGCAGGACTCTTTAACACAAGGGGTTTTCTCTGCCCCAGAGTGAGAGTGTAATTAATGGAAACAACATTCATATCCATTTGAAAATACCTATGTTGACTAAACCTCAAGTATCATACTTCCATAGAAATGGCAAGGGACATTGAAATGAAAGCAGTTACATATTTATTTCTTTCTGCCCTCAACTATTAGGACTTAATCTTGTTTTAACAAGTATGAAAACATTATAATCAATTTTGGTACTAAATTATTCTGGCATAGAATATTGTAGAATGGGAAGTCTGACCAAATAAAGGGGATTTGGGGGATACCATGGCCTCTCTCCTAAATTTATCACTGTATATAAAATATTTTACATATTAATGTCTATAAACATTTTAATAAAAATTCCAACTGTGTCAATTTTTGAAATGATCACTTCTCATATTGACATGTTGCATATATAGCCTGTAATTTACTAACTTCAACTCTATTATAAGTATTCAAATGTTTACTTCATTCTGGTTTCAAATATATATAGATATATATAGATATCATCTCTGAACTTTGATTAATATTTTTGCCATCTTAATCAGTTATGCATGTTTTTATTTCCCCAAAGTGAACACAGCACAGGTCACTATTGATCAGTTGTTCCAACAGGGTTATTACTATGTTTCTAACATGAGCCCCAGGAGGCTTTCTGTGCTCAAGCTGTCACTGAGGCATCGTTGCCTCTTTCTGCATTTCCTGAGTGTGGACCCAAAAATAACTGAACGCTTTGTGACCTATTCAATCCTTTCCATGTGTGTAATTTATGCCATGGTGGTGGCTGCCCTATAGGTTGAATATTTCTTGTGGACTCATTCTGGATGGAGAATGTCTTGTTTCCTGTAATAGAGTACATGTAGCCCCAGCCTCATCTTCCCATGCAGGATCCTCAGACTGAGATCATGAACTGACACCATGGCAGCCAGTGAGCTAGCTGTAGGAGTGATCTTCTTGTCTCTGACTGTGATTGGAGTTCTGGGAAATTTCTCTCTTCTCTACCATTATCTGTTTCTTTACCGAATAGGGTACAAGTTAAGGTCCACAGACTGGATTCTAATGCACTTGATGGTGGCCAACATCTTCAATATATTGTGTAAAGGAATGCCCCAGACAATGTCAGCTTTTGGTTCAAAGGACTTCCTAAATGATATTGGATGCAAATTGGTTTTCTCCTTTCACAGAGTGGGTAGGGGTGTGGGTGTTGGCAGTACCTCCTTCCTCAGTGTCTTTCAGGCCATTGGGATTGGCCTCAGGGACTCCAGGTGTTCAGACCTTAAAGTCAAAACACACAAGTGCATTTGTTACTCTGTGTACCTGAGCTGGCTACTTCATTTCCTTATAAGCAGTGTCAATCTAGTGCACATGAGAGCAAAACATGGCAACGAAAGCACAACAAACCTCAAATCCTTCCTATACTGTTATTGGGTCCGTCATGACAAAACCAGAGACATATTGTATGCAATATTGCTGTCAGCTCCTGACATTCTTTTTCTGGGGCTCATGCTATGGGCCAGCAGCTATATGGTTCTCACACTGTATAGGCACAAGCAGATGATGAAACAAATGCCCAGGATTAATGCGTCTTCAAGATCATCCCATGAGTCCAGAGCCACCAAAACGATCCTTCTCCTGGTTAGTACATTTGTTTCTTTTTATACATTTTCCTCCCTCTGTCAACTCTTTGGTACTCTAGTATACAAGCCCAGCTGGTCTCTGGTGAATGTCACTGCAATGGCCTCCCTGTTTTTCCCGACTGTTTGTCCCTTTCTGCTCTTGAGTCGTGACTCTCGGGTGTCCAGCTTCTGTTTGTCCTTAAAAAGCAATAAACATTTCCCCAATGTCTCTGACCAACAGCTGAACTGAAAGTTTGTTCACAGTTCTTAGTTGTTACTGAGTCATTCTGAAAGAATTGTGAGCAAAATTACAGTCACACCATGTCAGTGTGCAGGTTTTTGCAGAAAAGCTAGTAAATTACTGTGCATGGAGGTATGCTTGCAAACACGCATGCTCTCACACGTGTAATTGAGTGTGTCATTTTGTGTACAAGCATGGGAAACTGCATTTTCTTTATCATTATGAATCAAGGTATTTATCTGGATGATAATGTTATATATATATATATATATATATATATATATATTATATATATATATATTATAAAAAGGATCATGAAAATGTGAACTTTAGGTATCAAGTTAAGGTAATTGTTAAAAAGTTCATAATATCACTTTTGTGATGTGCTTTCTGCCTGTTTGGGTGATCGACACTGAAATAAATGAAAGAACATTTAAACTGAGGCCGATTTTTATTTCTGATGTTGTCCTGACTCTTGAATTCTATGCTACACTCCATTGTTTTAGAACAGAAGGTGAACTTATGCCCATGCTTTACTATCCCTCTTGTACTTATGCTATATTGTGTATTTTACCTTCTCCCACACACTACTTAAATGCAGATTTGTGCCTTTAACACCTTTCGATTTGCAGGTTACTTCCTCACAGCACAAGAATATTTGTACACTGTACACAGCTCTGCATGCATTTTCAAAATGGAAACTAATGTAATCAGGTTCAAACCTGGTGGGAGATTCCCATCTCAAAACTGTTCAAAATGGGAGCACAGAGTGAACTCACTGCACAGATCCCCTTAACCAATTCTCAATTCACAGGAATGAAATATTTCTTTGTGTAGTATTGATATTTGATTTTTATGATTTTCTGTAATTGTCTCTATATTCCTATACATTGATGACAGAGTTCAAATATATGAAAATTAATGAGTAAACATGGGTCTTTTTTTTTGCTAAGTGAACAGAAGTCTCAGGAGTTAAGAATGTGTGCTGCTTTCAGAAAGCCTAGATTTGTGATCCAAGCATCTACATTCTTTAACTCGCTGTTACCTGTAACCCCAGGTTTAGTGGATCTGAAATCCTCTTCTGGTTTCCACAGGCACTATACACATGTATTGAAATTAGATACGACTAATTTCAATTACTGCACATAATTTAATTTTAATTACTGCACATAATTTAAAAACAACCTAAAGTAAATCTTAGAAACCTTTGATATATTTGTTGGTCCACATGCTCTGTGGTTGGTACATAGTCTCAGTACCTCCTGGGCACCATGTGCTAGAAAGTTGATTCCCGGTGTTGTGATGTTGAGGTGGAAGAAACATCCCACATTTTAGCTACCTCTCACTGCCTATCTTTCCAAGTATGCTCTTTTGAATCACTTACCCAACGACAATGATTTTATGTGCTCTGAGGTTTCAATATAGCTGGTCAGATTTATCTGCATACTTGCTACTTTTCTTCAGGAATAACCCAAGCTCCTGAATTTTGTTCAAGAGAACAAGAATGGTTAAATAAATGTTCCTTTTGAACATGAAGTATCATGCATGGATGGACTCTGACATGTAGGTCTTCCAAGATATTCTTGTGGTAGTTGTATGAACAATTTCTGTGTATAAATATACGTGCACACTTGTCAGTTCACAGGTATTTCAGTTTCAGAATAGACATAAAGAGTTTTTACATATTATTCTGTAATTCTCAGCACAGTATATGCTCTTGTTTAAAAACACCATGTTATTCATAAGTTGATTATATTATGAAAGTATTATATTGATGAGTCTGACATTGCCTATCCTCACCTCACTCAGATTATTATCTCTCACCCTCCAAGCTGAGTTTCAACTCTCCTGCTTAGTCTGTCAGTTCTTGCTTGTCAGTCACATGAATTCCACAGCAACTCACAATCAAGGTTAGTCACCAGATTAAAAGTCTCAATTAGAGGGTCTTGTTAAGAGTGTGCAGTCAGAAGCACCAGGTATCTGCCTTACCCTAGCAAAGAGCACTTTCAGAATCTTATGCAGTGGCTACATGACTCTGGAGTTCAATGAATATGTGAAACCTCTCATTAAATGCTTGGGTTGCACATCAACACCAATTGAAGGTTGTAGCACCTAACACAACAGGGTCCAATTGTATCCAAGCCATCACTTAATGCAGGTAGAAGGGACATGAAAGTCAAGTGGATGACAAGGGAAGAAAGAGGAAGAGAGAGCAGAGGGATGGTGAAGTTCAACAATGGTAAGCCAAGTGACAGTATAACATACTAGGGCTTCATACCAGTGTAGAGAAGAATGCAATTCAACCTGAAAGTGATATGCCTATTTTTGTCATAAAGATGACATTTTTCTCCAAGTTAAAATGTGACTTTTTTCAAGGTCATGTAACATAGATCAATGGAAGATTAAAGGTTTTACAGAAAAATATTGAGTCTTATATCAGGGATACATGTGAGCAAATCTGCAATCTCAAAACAGTGGAAGCTGAAGTGCATGATACTTGGGTTCTAATACATTTTTTCCTGCAAAACAAACTGAAATAAAAGGAATTTCAAAAACATAGCAGGCAGAAGACATTCCTTAATTTAGAAATATTTTAATAAAGAGACAAAAGCAGTATATTCTGATATTGTCCTCTAATATAGCTCTGTATTCCTTTTATTTATTTCTTTATTTTTATTTTTTAATTGTAATAGTTTTATTATTCATCATCACAATCATCAATACAGAACCAAGTGGAGACAAATTTTACAAGGCGATTTTTTTTTCTTATAAGAATTTCTACCCTGGTGTAATATGAATCTTTTTTTGTTTGTTTGTTTTTCATTTTTTTTGTATTAACAAATTTTCTACTCACTCCACATGCTCTCCACAGACCCCCCTCCTTCCACCCACACCCCTGCCCTCTTTCCCAAGCCACCCCACACCCCACATCCCCCAAATTGAGGTCTCCCATAGGAAGTCAGCAAAGCCCAGCACACTGAACCTAGGCAAGTCCAAGCCCCTTTGCTCCGCACCAAAGTTGTGCAAGGTGTCACACCGTAGGCACCAGATTCCAGAAGCCTCCCCATAGACCAGGGACAGATCTGATCTCCCTGTCTGGGTGCCCCCCAAACAGTTCGAGCCAAACAACCATCTTCCATATCCAGAGAGCCTAGTCTAATCCCATGGGGGCTCCACAGCCACCAGTCCACAGTTCATGGGCTTCCACTAGTGTGGCCAGTCATCACTGCACATCCTCCCATCAGGATCTCAATGTCCCTTGCCTGCAGTATCTTTCCTCTCTCTCATCAACTGGATTCCTGGAGATCAGCCTGGTTCCTGTCCTTGGATGCCTGTATCTGGCTCCATCTGTCACTGGACAAAGGCTCTATGATGACAGTTAGGTTATTTGTTAGGCTGGTCACTAGAGTAGACCAGTCCAGGCACCCTCTGGACCACTGCCAGCAGACCATGGTGGAGTCAACTTTGTGGATTCCTAAGAGCCTCCCCAGCACCCTGCTTCTTCCTATTCCCATGATGTCCTCATCTATCATAGTATCTTCCTCCCTGCCCTCCCACTCTGTCCCTGTTCCAGCTTGACTCTTACATTTCCCTATGTTCTCATTCCCTGCTCATCACCCCCTGCCATCGCCCCCATACCCAGTCTGCTCATGTAGATCTCATCCACTTCCTCACAGGATCATCCATGTGTCCCTCCTAGGGTCTTTCCCTGTTAGCTAGCCTCTCTGGAATTGTGGGTTGCAGTCTGGCCATCCCTTCCCTCACATTTAGTATCCACTTATGAGTGAGTACATACTATGTTTGTCCTTCTGAGTCTGGGTTACCTCACTCAATATGATAATTTCCAAATCCATCTATTTGCCTGCAAATTTCATGATATCATTGTTTTTTTTTTTACTGCTAAGTAGTACTCCATTGTGTATATGTGCCATATTTTCTTTATCCATTCTTCAGTTGAGAGGCATCTAGGTTGTTTTCAGGTTTTGCTATTACAAATAATGCTTCTATGAACATAGTTGAGCATGTGTTCTTGCGGTATGATTGAGCATTCCTTGGGTATATACCCCAAGAGTGGTATGACTGGGTCTTGAGGAAGACTTATTCAAAATTTTCTGAGAAACCGCGATACTGATTTACAGAGTGGCTGTACAAGTTTGCATTCCCACCCACAGTGGAGGAGTGTTCCCATTTCTTCACATCCTCTCCAACATAAACTGTCTTGATCTTAGTCACTCTGACAGGTATAAGATGGTCTCTCAGATTTGTTTTGATTTGCATTTCCCTGATGACTGAGGATGTTGAGCAATTCCTTAAATGCCTTTCAGCCATTTGAGATTCTTCCATTGAGAATTCTCTGTTAAGCTCCGTAACCCATTTTTTAATTGGATTGTTCAGTATTTTGATGTCTAGCTTTTTGAGTTCTTTATATATTTTGGAGGTCAGCCCTCTGTCATATGTGGGGTTGGTGAAGATCTTTTCCTATTCTGTGGGCTGTCGTTTGGTCTTATTGACCATGTCCTTTGCTCTACAAAAGCTTCTCAGTTTCAAGAGGTCCCACTTATTAATGGTTGCTATCAGTGTCTGTGCTACTTGTTATATTTAGAAAGTGGTCTCCTGTGCCAATTTTTTCCAGACTACTTCCTAGCTTCTCTTCTATCAAGTTAAGTGTAACTGGATTTATGTTGAGGTCTTTGATCCACTTGGACTTGAGTTTTGTGCATGGTGACAGATATGGATCTGTTTGCAATCTTCTGCATGCTGACATCCAGCTATGCCAGCACCATTTGTTGGAGATGTTTTCTTTTTTCCATGGTACGGTTTTGGCTTCTTTGTTGAAAATCATATGTTCATAGGTATGTGGATTAAGGTCAGGGTCTTCAATTTGATTCCAGTCAGTTTTTATGCAAGTACAAAGCCTTTTTTTATTGCTATAGCACTAGAGTAGAGCTTGAGGTCGGGGATCATGATGCCTCCAGTGGTTGTTTTATTATACAGGATTCTTTTAGCTC